ATGCCTTCTACCACCACCCCCGCGGCTTGGATCCCACCTGCGGCCGACTACCCCAGGCATGGTCAGACTCCTGACAGTCCGACCATGGCCGGGGAAGCCGACCGCGGGGAAGGGGAATCCCGGCGGTGGCCTCTGAAGGACCCTTCAGAAGGGTCCTTCCGAGGCCACTGCAGGCATTTTCCCCCAGCTGAGCTGTGGGAGCGCTCCTTGGGAGGCTCCCGCCGCTCAGCTGGGGGAAAATGGTGCCTATGGGGAAAACATCGCAAAGCGATTTTTCCCCATAGGCAACATCGGTATGCGATCGCTTTTCCGATCGCAAAATCCGCATCGGTATGCGGATTTGTCGTTAAACGGGGCACTCGTTATACGAGGCACCACTGTATTTTGAAAGGGGAGGAATGTGACATTTGTAATTTTTACCAAAAAAAGATACTGAATAACTGTAAACAGAAAGGCAAGTGTTAAAAACAAAGGAGGAGGGAAGGAAGAAAATTTCTTTAACTTGTCAAAAAAAATCTAATATGCATATGTTTTAAGGCAAACATTTATTCAGAAAAAAATAGAACAAATAAAATCAATATTTAAATATTTTTCTCCCTTTTTTGGTTCTTAATAGAATTTGATTATACATCCGGATCTAATTCTTTTAAAAAGTAGTCTCACCTGTACTCTTAGCTATTCCATCAATTCCTTCAGCTTTTTCATCACGAAGTAAAGGATGGAAGAAAGTATAGACAAGATCACACTGAAATTGGAACAAAAAACACACAACTGTTATCATAAGTTTAGAGTACCCAACATAGACGTGAAGTAAATATATTGATGTACTTTGTAGAATCACCTCTGATACATCTGTTGATGCATTCATTAAACTTTGTATGTAACTGTTCAGCTCGACTTTCCTCTTAGCTGCTACATCCTTTATGTGAGTTCTTCCCAAAACCATCTTATTGGGAAAGCTGCAATAAAAATACAATGGGCACATGCAGGAATATTAGTAGCAACACATAATATTTACTAATCATTGAGGCAAACGATCAATACTTTCAACATAAAACATACTAATACGAGGATCATATAATCCAAGAGAAGGTTTTACAACAGAGTTGAAGGGATACTGCCAAACATGCTGAGAACTGACCGGTATCTCCTACTGTATAAAGAATATGCAAGTGTAAGATAACTTGGCAATACAAATGCTTCAATTGGTGAGGAACATTTTCTGTAATCTCTTCTTAAGTGTTTAACCAGAATCCTGTTGATTGATTTACATGTGTGCATGTTAACTTCCACAGTTCACTGTTGTAAATTGCTTCCTACTTAAAAGGACAACTGGACATTGACTTCCTTCAGAGCTAGTTCCTATCAAGGGCACACTCTCAGGACAGTTCCTTGCACTGAACTTACAATGCAGCATACCTAGATAAACATGTTTCACAAAGAACTATATTTACAGTTCAGTGGTGGAAGCATCCAGGAAGCCAGGTCCAATCATAGAAAACAGCTATTGCTAAACTGCGCGGTACAGAATACTTAGCATGGCAAAGCATCCTGTCCATGCTGAGAGAAAATGTACTGGTATCAATCCAGAGCGTTTCCCAACTCTCCAAACTAGATTTTGGGAGTGTTGGGAAGGTTGGGAGAGACCTGCAAAAGGGACAGGGTGGTTCTATAAGCAAAACCACTTTTTCAGGTTGTAGAACCCAAAGAAAATTCAGGAGATTCAATTTAAAAACTTCATATCTACTTGCTTTTAGCAGAACAGTTTCAGAGAACTTACCCTGGTAATTTCCAAAGAGGAAACAGAATACCAAGCTTGTTGTGGAGTTCTTGGAATTCATCAAATGTCCGAAAAATGAAAGAGGGCTCATTTTGCCCTTCTCTTAGAACTCTGACAACATAGATCTGTTAGATCAGAAAACATGTTTTTCAGCAACTTACAACAACAATAACAACAACAAAGTCAGATCTGTACTATATCCAGTTCCTATCATCTAATGAAGAGATTACTGGTCACTGTATCTCAGAATATAAGCACCATGGTTTCAAAAATTTTAACTGCAACATTATTTATTCTGTGTTACATCAGTCAGAAACAAAAATAAAGGCCAAAACTGAGTTTGCTCCATTTCCAAGAATTCACACATTTCTAACTCATGAGACGGTTTTCTAAGCCAGATATGCACCATACATATGGCTACTGCATTCATAACATGAACCACAATACGCTGACTCAGAAATCAACAAGCTGCTCTAAAATGAAAAGACAAAAACTAAATTTGGGATTCCTGAGACACCAAATGGGGAAAGGAGGAATTGAAAAGGTGCTGATTAAAGTGAATCATAACAGAGAAGATGGTTAGAGCTGCAGAAAACATAATTAATCCAATTATAATTCACTTACGTAATATTTATCTGGGTTGTATCTCTTATGGTATGTAAAGACAGATGCTTCTCTGATACGACCATCTTGTTTAAGTGAGTATGTTTTAGGAGAAAAAGAAAGGATGGGCTCATCATTGGACGGCAAGCCGGAAAAACGCAGCTGTGCAAGATTGTGGATGAAAAAATTGAACTTTGTAGCAACACTTCCCAAACTGGATTCAATCAACCTAAAAATTGAGGGAAGCACCAATCAGATTCTGTTTCTGTGCTATTAATGTGCAGAACAGCTCCAATGTAAGAGGAAAAATGGTGAGTTCTCACCCAGTTAGAATTTTTTAAATTGTTTTTTTATTAGTTTTCACAGGGATAGGCAGGACCAGGTAAAGGGGGGGAAGGATAGGAAAGGGTAAAATTCCAGAAAGCAAAAAGTATTCTTGCATCCACTTATACAATTATATTAAAAATAGAAATCATACAAAAAGAAAAAAACATTGTAACAATTTTCCAAGATATTTATCATTACTAATCTTCCATTTTCTTGGACCTTCTCTTTCTTTTTATCTTTAAGCTTACTCATTTTATAAATATTATTCTGCCAAGTATATATCAATTGCATAATGGTTATATCAATGTTATAATTATTAGTTGTGTTTATTTTATCATATATTCTTTCATCACAAAATATCTTCTTAAACTTAACGTTTATCTCCACTACTCTATCTCTGTATTCTAACTAATATTTTGTACCCCACTTATCATGTCCTCTTTCATTTTCCATTTTAGGGACCATGCATCCATTCTCAAGAGCTTCATCCACTCCATGTATTGTCTCCTTTGTCCCATCTGCCACAGCATGTGTCCCATCATCTCGAGTCTTCTCCCTTTCATAGCAAAGTTTATAGCAAAGTTCATCATTTGCTACACTTCTGCTGCTGACATCTCCGTAAGAGGGATTAACAAATTACTCTCGGCTACACTGTATCTTCACCTTTTCCTTCTGAAACCTTCTGGGGTTTAAGAATAACATTGCCTTCCCCTGTTTGTGTTTTTAAGAAATTAATTTCCAGTCACACTTCTGAATTTTTCTCTATCTTTACTGTAAATTCCATTTGTGTCCCTACGTCTTGTTTGTTCAAATACGCAGCTGCTCCAGCTCTGCTTTTATCTGGTGTAGTCCATTAAGCATAATGTTTTGAATATTCTTGACAATGTGTTGTTCCATGATTCGAAGTGTTATCTGGATTTCTTTCCAGCGGGTAGTAACCACAGTGGTTATTCACAATGGTAGCTCTTGGGCCGCAATTTAATCTCTCTCTTCCTAGGCTTTGTTGTTAGCAATGGTTGACAGGAAGAAGGGCTTTTCCCAATACTGTTTCTGGTTGTTTCACAGATTTAAATCCATCAGTAGTTTATGGTTAAATTGTCCTGCAGAAGCGAGTTTTATTGATGTAATAGAAGCAAAGTTGTTTTTCTCCCTCCCCTTTTCTCCTTGTTTTTGTTTCTCCCAGTCAAGCCTCAGATGAAGGGGGTGGGAGGGAGAGAGTGCTCACCAGTCTGGCCACATATAGGACTAGTCACTTTCTCTGACGGATTGCACCCACTCTCTTCATTGTTTAGGTCCTTAAGCGTTCCATATTTAAAGCAAGCCACTCATTTCAAGTTCTAGTCAAGATTGTTTCCAAGATCCTTCTGTACTTTTCTGCTCTCTTCCATTGGGGCATTCACAGCTTTGTGCCAAGATGGTGCCCAGCTGATTTCTGCTTCCAGATGCGACTTCAAAGAGAGGTCAATCCAGGGATCCTCCGGCCCTCCTCCCTTCTCAGTTGGATTCTGTTACTTTAGACTTTCACTTCTCCTAGTAAAAATCCTCCCCCCCCCCCAAGTTTTGGGTTGGGTTCTGCTTCCAGATGCGACTTCAAAGAGAGGTCAATCCAGGGATCCTCCGGCCCTCCTCCCTTCTCAGTTGGATTCTGTTACTTTAGACTTTCACTTCTCCTAGTAAAAATCCTCCCCCCCCCCCCAAGTTTTGGGTTAGGTTTCAAAACCAAGTGGTCTCAGTCAGTTTCAGGAGCCCTACTTAAACACAAACAATCTTGCTGCAACGAAGCCCCAACTCCCTCTTACCCAGTTCGAATTTCAAAGAACTATTTTAGGAGGTTAACCATGCTGGATTCTTTTCATCAATCAAATTGAGCAGAGGCAAAGTCCACAATCCACCTAATGACGTAACTCAAAGAACTGTGGATGTGCAACATAGTATCTGTCATAAAAATTGATATTTAATAAACTGGTTGAGGCTACACACCTTGTGGCCTCCTAACTGAGGAATAGACCTTAAGTACAATATAACTGAGTGACTCAAGAGTTAGTTACAGAGTAGGGGAGAATGAGCAATTCCGCAAATCCCTTGAAATATTTCCCCCGCCACAAAGAAAGTCCCCACTCTAGAAAAGAACCTTCTGACAATAAAATGTTGGGAATTACTGGGTAATCAGAAGTCATGCAGAACTGCCTGAAAAACTTTGCATGATAAGGTTCAAATCCCTGGCCTTACATATACTGTATGTACAACAGAAAAATATCTGAAATCTGTATTTTGATTTTGTTCCCCCCACCTCCCTGCAGAAAAGTCAGTGGTTTTCACAAGTTACTTTTTTAGAACTGTTAGGCACAATACACATATGATGTTTCTCTGGAAATATTTCTGTGATACCTTGTAAAGAAAATTGTAGCTTCAGCATCTGTGGTTTGAGGCTGAAGAGCATCTTGGACATATTTCAAGTCTTGAATTCCATTAAGTTCTGGTAATCCAGAGGAAAGCATCTATAGATTAAACAGATTTTGCACCCATAATAAAAACAGTGTTATATCTTAACCAGAAATTACACGCTTAAAAACCACCATCATTTTAAGTTTAATATGTCATTCCCATGCTTGAAGATAACAGTTTTCTTTATTCATTATACATGACAGCTGGCCATTTTTTAAATGTAGTCTCATTTAACACATATGACAACACAGAATTTTTACCAGTGACAGCAGATTGAGGAAAAGGTTGGCTCGTTTTCTTATCAAGTTATAGGCCTGGCAGCAGAGATCAACAAACAACTGGAAGCGAATAGTAGGCTTTTCACCACCATTGATAACATAGGCCATATCCGACGTCAGCACAAAAGGAGCCCGGTCCCTTTTTAAAAAGAAATATGAATTTACAAGTACTGAGAATTAGTATTCAAATATGAGGACATTTTATCTACTTTAGAATCTCTGTAATCTATTGTATTCACACTTTATGATTTATCTCTCATTTGTGCACACATAAAATAGGAAGTCATCCAAAAAGAAACAATCTCATCACAGAACTTCATTAGATTTTTTTTTTGTTCAAAGAAGGAAAGGAAAAGCACTGGACAATGTATAACAATAGTCAAGCCAATGGGACTACAGTTTAAGTTTCTGCTCTAGAAGTATCACACCTGTGTAAATATTGAACAGGACATTGGCTATTAACAGGGCCACCATAAGTCAGAAGCAATTTTTGACACAACATTTTACTGACAATGCAAAAGTATTGCCCATTGAGAGCAATGGTGGGGAACATCACCCTCACTTTGTGTTATTATCACATAATCAAATCTAGCCATGCAGTGGCATGTTACCCACGCCATCCAAGTAATTCCTGATTGCTTGGGACCAACCTAGGAAGCTTCCCCATTTTTCAGAAAAGGCATCAAAATGTCAGCTGTAGCAAATGGGGAGTCAACAACGCACAAACACCATCTCAAAATCAACTTTTCCTTCTTTCATGTAGCACTAGGTCAATAATACTGCCCACCAGATGGCATACTTCCTCATCCTTCATTGGGGATGCTGTAGTACAGCGGCCTGGGAACAGGGGTAAATTACCCCAAATGGGGTAAAAATGAAAATCCTGGGGGTAATGAGCAGAGTGCTACCTCCCCCACCCACTCCCACCCCCTGCAGCCGAACCTCAAACTGGAGAATGATTAAAGTAGTAGGAAAAGCCCCCCCCCCAACTCTGTGTTGGCTGTCTCTAGCAAGCATGTCATTGCTAGCACCACTCTGGCAGCCACTGATGATGATTAAATCCTCTGCAAGCTAGCAAAAATGTAATGCAACTTGCTAGGCACACTGGACATCTTACTACTCCCTATATTACCCCATGGTTGGAGTGCAATGTGTTCCAGCAAAAATAGTGCACATCTTTATTAAATTTGGTGCATCCTGCTAGTTCAGTACACACCCTGGCAGCCATTGATACTGATGATATATCCCGCTAGTTCGGTACACAGCCTGTGTAGATTCAATAATATTTTGAATTTAAATAATGTATGATTTCCTTCCTTTCAAATCAAGGGGGTAATGTTGTCGTATATAAAATTTGGGGGGGGGGGGTAAAAGGTAAAAAAGTTCCCTGACCCCTGCTGTAGTACAACATATATGTGGGACACAAGGGTAGATGAGGCTGCTCACATACTTCAGCTGCATCAGGAATGGGCAACATATGTCTATCCAGTTATTGTGAGACACTAATCTCCGCCAGCTATGTGGGCTCTGGCTCCTAGGAATGACAGTCCTACATCTGGAGGAACATTAGTTGTTCAATGCTGAACTACATTTCCCCCCAAAAATAGAATTTGCTTTGCAGTCTCAAATTTTCATATGCAACACTATTTAAAAATAGACTTAAAGTCTATTGTAGCAGTACAATGTTGCTACAGAAAACTTTTCAAAATCACTTTTCATAATGATAGCTGGAATTGACCCAGTTAGCTGGGTCACTTCTGAAATACTAAAGGGAGAAATTGTCCTTGCACGTTATTTTCTTATGCTTTGACAGCATACCTCTTAAAGCTCCCAAACATCTGTGCATGGCCCAAAAACTTTCCAAAATCAATATGGAACATGTGCCCTGTACTTCGAAGCATTATGTTGTCATTGTGGCGGTCACAGATACCAAGGACATAGGTGGCTACACAACATCCTGCACATGAATAGATGAAGTTTTCAGAAGCCTAAAATAAGTAGAAATACATATAGAGTTGGTCTATAGCTTGGAGAATATCACCTTGGTTTAACATACAGAAATAAGGTCTTGTAACAGAACTTAGTCATTCATGAAAAATAATAAGAATATGAAGAAATGTTTTTGTTTTCATCATTTTGAAAAGGAAGCTAATATGGTATTATAATCAGCTAGTTTTTAAAAAGAAATTTGAAGAAAGCTCTATATAGAAAGCTCTATATTGAAGAAAGCATGGAGAAAGGAATATACTATTCTGAGGAAAGAATGAAGAAAGGAAAATAACGTTCATTGTGCTCATGCTTTAAATGGAAGCCTTCTACAGGCTAATAAATAAGCACGATGTGCAAAATGTTACATTTAAGCATTAGGAAATAACAAAATATTCTTATCAAAATTAAACTAAAGAAGAATTTATTTTAGAAATAACAAATTTTTTATCTTTAGAAAAAACTGTAGGTTAATCTTGCTTGCTGCAGTATACTTTTTAAATATGTGAGGTATTAATTTCTCACTAAATGCAATGATAAAATATTTAGTATGACAAATTAAGCCTACTGACAGCATCTTTCTGAAAGATACTCAAACACATTTGAAGCTGCTGTATATCAAGTCAAATCATTGCTCTATCTTAGTCAGTACTGTTTACTTTCATTGGGAAAAGTCCTCTACAATCTAGTGTGCAGAAATTTCTCAGTTCTGCTTCCTGGAATCTTTTGCATGCAAAACAAGTATTTTAATATTGAACTATACACTCTTTTCAATAATAGTGCAAATACTGTCAGTGCCATGTAGTAACCAGTTCATGTTCTGAAGCCACACAAGATTTACCTTTTCATATTCTTCTTCCGTAGGATTGTATTTTCTTAGCCATTCTGCAAGTGGCTTGTCTTTAAAGGACCCTGTCACTCCATATTCCACTTGAATTTTCCGAAGTGTATCTGAAGCTGGAACAAGCTCTACCATTCCTATAATTCCACATACAAAAATACTTAACACCTTCTTGTTAAAAAAAAAAACCCTGTATCTTATCTGTATTTGATGCCAATTCTATTTTTATCATGTGTTTCATTAAGGCTATATTCAGACATTTTAATTAAGTATTTCTATGCAACCAAACTACTTGCTAAGAAATACTAATAAACACCATGAAACAGTTAAAATGCAGTTTAAGAAACAAAAAGGCAAATACCATTTGATCTTTAAATCAGCTCAGTAAATGACTAAAATTAATACTAATGTAACTAATATATAGACCTCAAATAGGGAATGTTTCAGATATTAAACTAACAAAAACAGATATTATGCTTCATCTTAACATATTGAATATGTCAGTTTTGGGACGGTGTCTTGGTTTGGTTGTGGTTTTGGTGGTTGTCTGCTTTTGAGGTAGATTCTCTTTAGCCTTGACTCCTAGTTTTTTATAATAGTTCACAGGAAATCTTCAGAGATTACTAGTGCCAGAAAAAAATAATAATTGGGAGGTGGGAAGAAAAAATCCCAAAGAGCCAACCCCTCTGATGGTTAACTGAAGGACCAGTACACAAAAAACAAGAAAACAAAAAGAGGCGCCAGAAAAAGAATCCGTTATGAAGCAAATACAGACATTTTCCTTGAGCGCATCTCTAATAGATACTACCATTTCTTTATACCTCTGTCTTTGCCAGTTGAAAGGCACTTGAAGATAACCATCCGCAGGTCAAGTCCTTCCTGTAACCAGACCTTATCCATAATTTTTATCATTTGCAATGCCAACATATCCTGACGCAGATCTTCTCCAACCTGAAACAAAGGCAAGGCTACAAATGAATGAAAGGGGTTTAAACAGTCATTATGTTACATTATGCATATTCTTTTATATCTCTGCACAAAAGCAGAAACTGGCATGGGGCACAGAATTCAGTGTCTCTAATAATAGGTTTTTGATTAAAGTAGATAAATGAGCAATGCCTCCAAACATATGAGAAGAATGTAGTAATGAAGAGTGTAGTATTGAGGAGCCTTGTGGAGAATTGGTTAAATTGCAGTACTGCAATCAATACTCTGCTCAAGAACTGATTTCAATCGCAATGGGCTTAGCGAGCCAGCTCAAGATTGACTTAACTTTCCATCTTTCTAAGGTTGGTAAATTGAATGCTCAGTTCACTGGAAGGACCATGACTAGCCTACATAATTAAATTATAAATCACCCAGAAAGTGCTTTAAGCATTATGGAGCAGCACACTTTGCTTTGCTTTTTAGTATTTCAGAGGTCTGGGCTCTGTTGCTAGGTATTGCTTCTCATAATCAGTGTAAGAAAATTATGCATAGCCCTGCTCCTACATATGCCCACAATGAAAACAAACCAACAAATCAAAAGTGTCTATACTTTAGCAAGAAGAATAGTAACAGATCAAATAAAATATTTAACCAGCAGAATACTGCTACATGTATTGAAAGGGCACTGTCTGTCCAACAGATTTTTTTTAATGGAAAAAACCCCTAGGAATCAGAAAATATGTTTGAACTGCCAGAATTTCAAAGTGGTTTGCTATTTACTGCTGGAGTAATGGGATGGAAACGGTAAAGCAAGAATGAGGTTTTGGTGCTTAAGAAACACATTCAAAGCCTAATTGAAAACACAGACTTAGATGTCTCATTCCCGTATGCAAAGCAGTTTTTAAAGCCAAAACTATTAAGCTTACATAAAGATACACCTCACAGATACAGCTTCCTCCAGCTCAAATTCTTGCTGAAACATTTGCTAACAACAATAGTAATATAATTTCTGTTACAACCAAAGTATACTTCTGTCCAGCTCAAACAGAAAATTTACCTTAAACATTACATTAATTTCTTCTCCCAAGGGATCTGCATTCACCAGAGTCACTTTAAGAGGTACTGCATTAGAACTGAAGTAAGAACATGCCTGCCAAAACATTTCAATTAGTTATTCCAAGATTAAGATTACTGGCACTATTAAAATAAAAAAGGGCTGTAAACTGGCTCTGATGAACATGTATAAAATGAATTATTGCATGTAAGATAAAGATAGTTATACAGGATATAAAAATCTAAATAAAAAGCAATCTTCTTCATTTTACTGCTATATAATGATGGTATAAGGATAGAAGAAACCTGCAAAGAGAGTAGCTGGTCTAATTTCCAGTTTCTTTCTCCAAAATTGCATACTTGTAATCTTTGTTTTGTATTTTAGTACTGAAGTTCAAAATTCATACCATTCTCATGAGTACTGCAGCCAAGATAAGTGCATTACAATGATCTAATCTTGAGATTACAAGCATGTGGACTAGAGTAGTGAGGGCCCCCCATCAAGATAGGGTCGCAGCTGGGCAATCCGCCATAGATGAAAATAGGCGGAGCGGACCACGGACGCCACCTGGGTTTCCATGGTAAGCGCCGGGTCCAGATGTACCCCCAAGCTGCAGACCTCACTCTTTGCAGCAAGGGTCGTCCCCCCAAAAGAAAGGGAGTTACCTATACCACTGATGGAAGGACCGCCCACCCTCAAGATCTCCGTCTTGTCCGGGTTCCGCCTTAACCCATTCGACTGCATCCATTCCAATACAGTCTCCAGGCAGCGCTGAAGGGACAGGACGGCATCCACTGAGGTAGATGAAAAGGAAATGTAGAGCTGTGTGTCATCAGCATACTGGTGACACAATGCCCCACACCCCCTGATGACCCCACCTAGCGGCCTCATATAGATGTTAAACAGCATTGGAGAGATGATCGACCCCTGTGGAACCCCACAGTTGAGACTCCAGGGGGCCGAGACACTCTCCCCAATCTGAACTCTCTGGGGATGGTCCTCTAAGAAGGAACGGAGCCAGGCAAGGGCCTGGCCACCAATTCCCAACTCAGAGAGCCTCCCCAGGAGGATACCTTCGTTGACGGTATCAAAGGCTGCCAAGATGTCGAGGAGGACCAACAAGGACATATTGCCCCCATCGGCCTCCCTCAGCAGGTCATCCATCAGTGCGACCAGTGCCATCTCTGTACCGTAGCGCGGCCTGAAGCCCGACTGGAATGGGTCCAGGGCATTTGTTTCATCCAAGAGGACCTGGAGCTGATCTGCCACCACCCTCTCAACCACTTTGCTAAGGAAAGAAACATTGGTGACGGGCCCATAATTGCCAATGTCGTCCGTCGCCAAATTTGGTTTCGTCCTAATGGGCCTAATGAGTGTCTCCTTGAGGGCAAGGGGTACCTTGCCCTCCTGAAGAGACCCATTAATTATTGCAGTGGCCCATTCAGTTGTTACGGGCCTGGCTGCTTTGATTAGCCAGGCCGGGCAAGCTATCAAGATGGCATCAGCCTGGGACTGCTGGATCTTTACTATTCTCCATTGGATTAGAGGAATAGGAGGGAAGAGATAAAGCAATGCCTTGCCCCAGTCCACCATGAATGAGTTGCCTCGAGAACCTAGGCCTTTCCTTGCTCAAGAACAGAACATGCTGCACTTTGAATTGTCCCAAGTGGCAAAAATGTCAAAGGTCGGGGTACCCCACCGACTGCAGAGACTGGCAAAAACGGCGTCGTTGAGAACCCACTCATGAGTTTGGGTGGTAAGACGGCTCAGGCGATCGGCGACATTGTTGTCCTCTGTCGACACATGAATGGCAACCGGGAAAATGTGGTGGTCGAAACACCACTCCCAAAGATGAATCGCCAGGTACAGTAGGGAAAGTGACTAAGTACTGCCCTGTTTGTTGATATAATACAGGGTGGCCATATTGTCAGTGGCAATCTGTACTCCTCTGCCAACTACGAGAGAACGGAAAGTGCAAAAGGTCTTGATGACCGCAAACATCTCCAGATCGTTGATGTGCAAAAGCCTTTCCGCATCTGACCAGAGGGCATGAATCTCATGAGCACTGCAATGCGCATCCCAGTCTATTGCCGTCTGTTGTGACCTGTACGGTCAGCTGGAGAGGCCTGAAAGGACAGCCCACTAATAGGTGAGGGACAAAGATCCACCATCTTAGTTGATAGGGCAACTCTGGAGTCACACGTAGTCTTTTGGAATGGTGGTGTACTAGAGGACTGAACTGGGCCAGATAAGAGGCCTGCAAAAAGCACATCTTCAGCCTTGCTGAAGGAGGAAGGAAGACTCTGGCCCTGACAGAATCAAGGTGCGCTCCAATGAAGTCCATGGTTTGAGAAGTCTCAAGATGAGTTTTCTTGAGGTTGACCCTTAGATCTAGGTCTGCCAGGGTTTGAAGGGCAAAGATGGCATCCCTTTGAGCTTCGTGATAGGAACTCGCCACGATGAACCAATCATCTATGTATGGAAAAACCATGATGTTGAGTAGATGAAGGTAGGCAGCCACAGGAGCCAGATGCTTTGTAAAAGTCCTTGGAGCATTGGAGCATCATTCCGTGCTGAATGGAGCCACGTGTGTCTCCTGAGGTCAATAGCAGAAGCCATGGCCTTAGAAGCAGCATTCGCCATATGCCAAGAGGCCAAGCATTGCTGTTTAGCCAAAACAGACGCCTCTAGATGTGTATTGAGAACCTTGGCATCGTCAGGGGAGGCCTGGAGGACTGGGAGAATCTTGTTCCACAGTTGCCTCTGATATGCCCCCATGGCAGCCTGATAGTTCGATACCTTCATTACGAAGGATGCAAGAGAGCAGAGACGACGGCCCAAGACGTCCAGTTTTCTACCTTCCCTTTTCGTACGTGTGACAGTTGAACAGTTCCCTTCCCGAGACTGGTTAGACTGCACGATAATGGAATTTGGGAGAGGATGCTTTACCAGAAAACCAGTGTCATTCCTGTGGGTTCTGTAATGATTTTCGACATGCTTGGAAATCTGTAAAGAGGTAGCAGGCTTATCCCAGTACTCCTTAATAAGATCCAGCATAGCTGGAATGAAAGCAAGATTCAACTGAGGCAATTTCTCCTTGCATAGGAGGAGGAGGCTGCTCGATATCGAGCTCCAAGGACTTTGCTATGTGGAGTATCAAGTATGAATAAATAGTGAATTCCTTGGATAGAAAGGGGGGATGGTTATCTGCCACTTCTGAGTCTGGGGTTGGAAGATTTGAAGGAGACACCTTAAAAGCCTCAGAGGGCTGATCTTGAACATCTGAGACTGAAGAAACGGAAGAACTTCTAGTATAAGGAGGTAAAGAAGGTGAGCGGTGACAAGACCTCAACGTGGAATTACCAATCCGGGGAACCGGTGCCAAAGGAACACTTTCTGGTGGAGCCGAGACCTTGCGAAAAGAAGAGACCCGAAGAGATGAAGAGGGAACTCGAGCAACAGACTCACTCGGCTGTGGTACCAAAACCGACAGGATTGATGCCATATGGGAGCGTTTTGATGCCCGAGAATCCTGTCCAGCGATGTCAAGTTGCTGTGAACGATGCTTAACAGCTGGCCTGTGTGGGACAGGCAAACTGGGATCAAAACGGTAATAGTACCGGTGTCGACGTCGAGGCAGAGAAGGTGATGGAGACGAGTCAGAGGGGGAAGCATAAGTGTAACACACCCTCTTTGGTTGGTAGAAAGAGTCATAATAAGGATCGATCTTTCCATAAGAGTATCTATGCCGATTATGCTCCCCATAATGGAGCTCTTGATAGCCTGCCAAGCATCGACGTAGAGAATGCCGAGGGATGTGAATAACATTCCGATGCCTAGGCGACTGAACCGGTGGAGAAACATGGTGCCACTTAGCCAAACATTTACACAGAGGAGAAGCCGACCCTGAAACTTACAAGTTTGAGAGCTGAATTACAATTGCCCGCCCGAAAGACATAGGGCTAGAATGGGCCAAGGCTGAGCTGGAGATAAGATCAGCCTCTGAGCGGCCATGACTTGGAGATAGGTTCAACAATGACTCCGGTGCCGGAGGCAGCAGCATCAGGTCATTTGCTTCCAATTGGGAGTCTGGGTTGGGTACCTCCCTCAATGACTCCTCAAGGATTGGCGAAGGACGTGACAGTTGGGCTAGAGGAGGTTCTCTAGGATGACCTGATTTAGAGGACTGCTTTGTTTTCTTCTGTTTATCAATGTCCTTCCTTTTCTTAGGAGAAGGATCACTAGCTGAGACTGAAGGTGACTTCGAGGCTGATGTCGACTTCAAGCCCAACGGGTGTTTCAATTTGGGAGCCTCAGAAGAAGACTTCTGCCCAGGCAACAGCATGATGGGAGCCAAGAGTTGGTCTACTGGCTCCGACCAAGGGACTGGTGTTAAGGTAGGCTCCACAGTAGATGGTTATCTCAAGGTCGAAGGTCTCAGGGATTTCTTCCAGAGAAAAGACTGAAGACACTGCAAATGAAGCTTAAGGGCAGGTCTGGTCAATCTCTTGCTCTCCAGGCAGGAGCGCGTCTGGTGTTGTTCCCCCCAGGCAAAACAAACAGCAATTGTAGCTGTATGAGAGGGGAATTTTATTGGCACATGAGCTGCAATGCTTGAATGGGCCCGTCGGGGCCATAAAAAAGAGTGGGAAGGGGGGGGAAGGGAGAGAGGGGAGAATCAGAAGAAAGAAAAAACTCACAGGGAAATGTCCGAAACAGAAGAACAGATCAAGTCCGAAATCGAAATTGTAAACTGTGAGACAAAAGTCCGAAAAGCCGTAACAAGAAGTTCGCTCTAGAGACTGCCAAAGAAGTCCGATTTCTGTGGCAGCTAAAAGGAACTGAGGTATTACAGGAGGGTGGAGCATGCACACCATGGGGGAACATCTTACTAATCACATGCTTTTAAGCTCTAGAAGATTCCAAGGAGTCCTGCGCAGGCGCAGTAAAACCCATTTGTGTGCATTCACGGAGGCCACGAAGAAGAACTCTGAGTACCATACGCTAAAGACTCACAGAGGGAATCTTATCTTTCTGCCCCCTTCTCTTCTACCCAACTGTGAACTTTCTGATGATGGAAACAAAATGCTAGACAGTATTTTACAAGACCCCTACTCCTAACACTGAAGTTACATCCAACCTGTCAACATCAGTCTTGTTCTAAAGATGGTGTTTGAAGGCAGTGAAAATGGCACTTGTTTTTATTACTTAATCAAATTACTTTTGTTTATACAAATATAACTTGCTTTTCCTCTCCAGAAAGAACTTGCTCAAAGTGGTTTACAAAGGATACTAGCTTATTTATAATATTTTAATTTTATCATCCGCTGGTAATTCTTGCATGCATTACTGTATAAAAGGAAGAGACATATTACACTAGATTAGAAATATATGAAACGTACCTTGACATTTAGTTCTTTAGCTACAAGGCTTGGATTGAGAGGCAAACGACATTTATTTTTTAAGAAAAAGGATTGAACACGTTCCATTCCACTTTGCAAGACAATCTGCCAATGAACAATGCAGGATTAAATTTTATTTCAAATACTGAGAAATGTTAAGTCATTACAGTGGTCCTGTGTAGAATAATATGGTTGTGGACGAGCCACAGAGATGTGCATTTCTGTTTATAAATTTCAGTCTATGACCACAAAGTTGAATACTTTGTCAAAGGAATGCAATACTAATTCCATAAATATGATAGAGTGATTTTAAATGCAGCTGTCATATGAAAAACAAGTAACCATTAATTTTGTTGGGTGAATCAGCTCCAACTAACATAGAAACATGATCTTCTAATTTAACAAACCTGTCTGGCAGATCCATTTGTTTGCTTCACTTTTTCTGCAACCATTCCCAAGATCTGAACCAATCTTGTCTGCTTTTCCAACTCTTCTCTCAGTCGTTTGCCACAGACTGAAAGGAAGGCACCAAGGACCTGCTCATACCTTACACCATGTTTGACATCATGCAAGGTATCCTTTAATAACCTGAAATATTAGACAATATTATATTGGTTTCCTTAACAAAGCACACTACCTTCAGTTATAATAATTTCTGCTGTAATAATTAGGCTTTAAAATACTACAGAACATCAGACAGGTCAGCATATATGGAGAGCTAATGCAAAACAAACAATACAAGGTGGAGATTGAGGGAGTAGCTACAACTAAACACCATGAAATAAAATGGCTATGGTTACACATCACAGACAAGCCTTAAGTCCCTAATTTACTAAACCACTTACTGATGCAGGCTAGTTTTCTTTTGCCCTGACATCACTCTTTCCTTTCTACTAGTAAGCAAACAAAGCAGGAATTTTTGACTAAGCATGGCTTCCTATTGTGTGCAAACCTGGGATTGTTCTCAAACAAGTTAGAATCAGAAGCTTTAAACCACTAACTTATGAATCTTAAGTGTGTTAGGAGCAATTAATCAGAATCCTGAGTCTGGACTTAACCAAGTTTACTTCTTGATTTGTTTATGTACTTGTAAAATGGTGAGAACACACAGGTAAGATGCATCAGCACCTTACTCATATAAGCCATCATTTAATAAACTAGGATTCATGGCTTGCTGTAAGATGTGAGTATAGCCGACACAGCTTACTTCAGAGCAAACATAAACAGGATTGTGATTTAAGATGGGGAAAACAGAGTTACAGGATAAAAAATTACATGAGGTATTAGGATATCCTCTCCTTTACTAGAGTGTGGGATTCACAGCTTTCAGATGGGTCATTCCACAGACCTTTAGAGAAACTGTGGGAAGAGAATTATCTTTTGTTTCCAGGTCCATACTACATAAAATCAATATTCATACTATACATTTATTAAGCCCTTTCATTGCATATGTAGTTGATTTCCTAAATACAATATTAAGACAAATTTATAATTTTGTTACCTGTGCACATAGGTTTTTGTTACTGAGACACAATGATTAACTTTGCTTAGCTTCATAGAAATGGATGTAAGCTATGACCTAAGCCAGTCCACTGAAAGAGAATGTAGTAGCCCAGGACATCAGGAAGAGTAAGTGTACTACAAGGATTCCAGAACACTTAAGTAAAAATATTTAACTTTTCTGCAAAGTAAAGAACCATATGATCCTTAATATCAATTCATTTTTACTTCGCTGTCTTCTGTCCTCTTAGGGGGAACAGAAAGTTTAAGAACAGATGGGGGAAAAAGAATGTAAATCTTCTTACCAATATAAATAGTGTGCTATTCGAATATTTCCTAATGCTCGGGCCAAAAGGAATCTGACTAGAGAGTTGTCCAGATAGGTTTCATATTTTAGTGCCTAAATATGTATATAAAAAAAGAAGTTTTATTCATCATTATAGGCTAAATTTTAAAAGCAGCTCTTTATTGGGGTGGGGCTACAGGGCAGCAATAAAACATACAGACTGAATATAACTTCAGTTTTACTTAATACAGCCGGTTTTGAAATTATTTTAAGGGAAAAAACTATTCCTAGAACAATATTGCTGGGACTACAGAACAATTTGGTACAAATCAAAATTACAATTCATACAGAAAAGCTCAGCAGGTGTGTATTTATTTAAGGATGTTTCAAAGGGTGCTCCTTTCCTCAGAAGTTTCTGTGGAAACAGAGGCACGGGGAGAGAGATTTTTTTACAGCTTCCTCTTTTCTCCTACAACACTGCATACCATCTTTCACACTATTTCCAGGGACCTTTCAGCTTGCTGGAGCAGATTAAGGGGGCACCAGGGGGTCATGGAGAAAAGTGGTAAATACTAAAAATGGTCTTCCCCTTTGGCTCACAAAACCTCCGAATTCCCAAGCATCTATGAATGCTGCTGTTTATTACATTATAGTTATCTATTACATTCATGCTGCCCTTTTATTAGTCCATTTCCAGAACAACAGAAAGAATATCATAATAAAGCAAAAACAAGAGTGGAGGATACCTTTATTAGACAACTAGAATGTAATAAACAGAAGCAAGCTGTTGAATTGTACAGGACCCTTTATCAGCCTGGGCATTACTGAGTGTGCAGTGGGTGACTGCAGAAGCAAAAGAAGCATTCCAAAAATGATGGCCAGATGTAGAGGCTCTTCTTCTTTAAAGCCAAGCCCAAACCCTACATCTGGCAAGTTTTGAAACTTGCTTTGGCATCCTCCCCACAAGCCACAGCTGTGAGATGCCTAGCTTGAGGGTCTTGCACAGCTCAAAATATAGCTTTTGTTTGTGAGATTTTAGTGGCTGGCCTAATAAGGACATCACCAACCCTTGTTTTCAGATCGTGTACAAGAGCCGTGCAGCTTTTGTTTTTGTTTGACAAAAATAAAACTACTTAAGGTTAATGTATTCTTTTAAAAAATTAAATTTAAAGTGGCTGTTAAGCAGTAAGATAATCAACAACAAAACAACAACATCAATAAAGTATGTTAATAATGTAAAACCAGTTTAGATGACATGCTGGAAGTCCTGGCCCAATACAAATACCTTAACCTGGTATCAAGGGAATATGAACTTCAGTGCCAGGCAAGCCTCCCTAAGTATTTAATATGTACAGAGTCATCAACCAGGATTGTGCTGCTGGTCACTGTAGTTGCAAAATATAATTGGATTTTGTGTTTGGCTTTTAGTCTGGGATTTGGCATTTGTGCCAGCAATTGAGTACAAGGGCCAAATTAACATTCTGGGAATGATACTGTTATATGACAAATGGGTTGGCAGAAAACAATCAAAAAGTCAGAACCATCTTGGGGTACTATTGGAAAGATCTTCTCTCTTGTTGTCATTTACCTGGCTAACTTCAGTGCAAGGCAGACACTAAGAAGGGTGCCTGATGACTGTTGATAGTACAATGTGATCTAGTGTTGAAATGAACCAAAGAAACACATTTCAGTACAGCCTCTTAAATGTCTCTCCTGCACTGTTTATGTAGAGTTTTCTTTTTCCTAGCCCTTGCCAAAAAATGAGAAGGAAGGGAGAGGGAGAGACGGTGTGCATGCACACATCCATGCATGTGACTCATATAGCATTTCATTCATTTACCAGGCTAAATAATGTTCGTAACAACATTATTCTGATCACTCAACTGTAAAGTGACAGAATAAGCAACTGGGGTTGCACGTACTGTAGATGGTTGAGAAGAAAGGAGGGAGAGATGGAAGTTGAGTAATGCAGTTTACCTTTACAGAGTAATTCCTACTTATGACAGGCTTAAGTGTGGGTTTTTATATATTGGTCTAAATATCATTATAACTATGATGTTACACTTTCAGGCTCCTCAGATTTTTTTGTGCAATTATAAGTGCCCTTTCCAAGATGTTTATTGTAGCATTCTTCTTACCTGCACAAACTGGGGGAGAATATCAGCCAGTTCATCATCACTTATTGCCTCAATCCACTCCATTGCTTTTGTTCTTACTTCCTGATCTGCAAAACTAAAAAGCATAAGATAGGTAAATGCACTGTACTACATTCAAGTTTCACAAAAATGTAACTCCTATACATTTCTCAATTGATGTGATCGTTATTTACTAAGGAAAATAAATTAAAATTAATTCCTAGTTGATATAAGATGATGCTGCACAGTTAGTTACAGGATATCAAAATTTCACTGAGAATCTTACTGGTATGGCTAAAATAATTCATAGCTTCCAAAGCCATTCTGCAGATCAGCAGATTAATAATCAGAGAAAAGCCACTGCATTGCAACTAGCAAATAATCATTTTTCTTCAGAAATTTTACGTAAGATTCAACATGAAACATTCTTCTTGATCTAGTAAGTGCTCTTTCCAACCTTAAATGTCACAAACTGGCATAACCTTATTTCAATGAGAGCATTAACAACTGCAGTGTTCTGGAGCAGTGACTGGTATGTTCCACCTCACTTATCTGCTGGCACAGCACCCTCAGGATCAGGCTGAAAGCCCAGTACATGAGTTGCTATTTTGAATGATAAGCCCTACAAAAAAGCATCAATCATCTGTGACCTCTAAACAAACATTCCTGTGGCAACACAATGTTTTGTTAAACTAGGGAACTGTCAGTAAGTTAATGAAACATTTGTACTTTAGTTGTAGGTTTTTTGGGCTGTTTGGATGTGTTCTGGAGATTTTTCTTCCTAATGTTTAAACAGTCTCTGTGGCCGGCATCTTTGTCCTCTGAAGATGCCGGCCACAGAGATTGGCGAAACGTTAGGAAGAAAAACCTCCAGAACACGGCCAAGCAGCCCGAAAAACCTACAACAACCATCGGATCCCAGCATGAAAGCCTTCGAGAATACATTTATACTTTAGTTTGTGCTTCTAAAATTATGAAACTGCTTTATAGCTCATAATATATCATCATTTTTCAGTGCATTTACACATTCTAAAATTAATGTTTGACTTACTTGGAGTTCAATAATTCTAATGCAGTCAGAGGAGGCAAGGGAGGCCACTGTTGAAGCAGTGAATATATTTCAGGGAGATTGGTCAAATCCCAGTTTGGGGCACTGGCTAATACCTTTGGAAAGCTATTTACAACTATATGGCAGTAATGTCGTTTCTCCCACAAAAATGCTTTATCCTTCCTCGATAGGCTACATAAAGGGATGTAAAAAGTCCTTGTTAGTTCACAACAATGTAATCATGGTCACTAAGCCAATCAGAAGCTACAGCCACAAACACTTTCAGTATTGCATGACTTCTCAAAAGAAAAAACAACACCCAAAGAGTTACAAGAGGCAGAATTTACATATTTCACTCATAAAGAGATCTACGTAAACAGGAAAAATGCAGCTCAGCTGCTACTCTAAGTTCTGTTTAACTTTTAAAATGTTCTGCAGAAAATCACAATGGTAAAACAAACACTTTTAGGCAATTTCAGATCTACACCACTTTGAAGTTTTTCTCTTGCTAGGATGAGAATTTAAATGGCCATTCCACACACTACTTAAAGTAATACTGCATTCCACAAAAAATCCAGCCATACTTACCTCAATGGGCAAGACTTTAGTATGCTACAGCAGACCTCAGACACAGACTCCGTTACAGCAAATCAGACAAGGAAAGAAAACCAGAAAAAACCAAGAGACAAAATGTGGTAGCTTCTTAAAACATGAGCTTTCATGAATCAGGTCTACTTCTGATTTGTATAGCAATTAGATGTTACAGAATTTGTCTCTTAGTTTTTTGTTTTTTGATTTCTTATCTGATATTAATTATTATCTGATATTAACAATTACCGTATTTTTCGCACCATAAGACGCACTTTTTTCTCACAAAACAGGGGGGTGGAAAGTCTGTGCGTCTTATGGAGCAAAAAAAACAGATTATATTTTCCTGTTTTCTTCTAAAAAATTGGTGCGTCTTATGGAAAGGTGCGTTTTATGGAGCGAAAAATACGGCAATTGTTTTTATTACGTGTTTGTGAGCCACCCAGAGTAGACTATGTCTAAATGGGTGGCATATAAGCTCAATAAATAAATAAATAAATAAATAAATAAATAAATAAATAAATAAATAAATAAATGATATGCTTGAACAGATTAACAGATACTTCTTTGAAAACTATAACTGTTACAGCAAAAGTTCCACTTCTCCTTGCCATTGTTCTTATAACTAGAAAATTTTTCCTTACCCCTTTCTTGTAAGGAGGCTTCTACCTCAACATATAAGAACAGAAATTCATTAATTAGGGTGAGTAGGGGCCAGCCATAAAGGAAACTAGAAGCTATTAACTAAAGGGGCATGACCTATTTTAAAAAAAGGTGCAACATTTTAATGAAACAGTGAAAATCCTGAAAAATCACAACAGAATTTGTAAGTTTAGAAAGGACAAGCTTTAGTTGCCCTTTCATTTTCTGAAAATGTTTGAAACCTTTTTTAAATGTTTGGGATAGTTAGTGCACCTTCTAAAACGTGTACAAACTTAATTTGTCTTTGTTCTGACTCTTCGTTAATTTTTGGTGAATTTT